CTAGTAACTCGTTTTTGTAATTCATCCAAAGCGATATATTATGAAATGAAATTAATCATTCAATAAGCATTAACACGTTGACTGCCACGTTGGTCACCTGCGACTGGAGATTGTTTCCTCGATGAGGCCATGGTGGTCATCAGTGACCGTAGTGCCTCAAATGTTTAGAATAATTAAAATAAAATAAATATCGTCAACTAAAAATTTTGAACGTCATAGCTAACTAGATATTATTTTGAATTAAAAAAAAAAATAATAAAGCATAATAAACATAATATAATCTTATGCTTAAAATAATGAAAATTTTCTTGTGGCCGCCTGAGAGCAACCCGTAAATCTGGCGTGACAGTGAACGTGTTAATAAGTAAATGTTGTTCAAATTATATCGTGTTTGATCTCATTTTCATTAGAAAAATTCTTTATTGTGTTTGATCTAATTTTCATCATTAAAAAAATTTTCACATAAAAAAAAGTAAAATTAAAAGAGTTGGTGTTTAAATCGCTTGGTTGCCTCGATTCTCGTTTCATCCTTCTCTTTTATTCGCTGTCCTTATCTTCATTCGGCAAACTATAAAGGCGGTCTACGAGGCTCGAAAACAGTGTTTCCCAAACTGTCCTGTTTAGGTTCTGTGCTGGTGGACAATGTGAGAGACATTACTGATTTGTCGCATATTTAATATGTGTTTTACCTCTACAACTCGAATTCAGAAGAACTCGGACCTCTACAAGTCGAAGTTAATTTCTACATATCAGTCAATCGATCCAATATGATCAACAGTTCAACGATCATCAATTGTTTATTTCTTTATAGAGATAAACAGTGCATGCGTTTTCATCACAAAAGCAGTTTGCTGTAAAGATTGAAGGAAGAAGTTAAAGCACAGTTCTAGCGTTTCTATTCTTTTCTCCGGATCATACGTAACAAAATGAATTCTAAACGCAAGTGTAAAACATTAACATTGGCTGATAAAATAAACGTAATTGAAACAGTAAAAGCTGGATCAAGACAGAAAAAGGATATTGCTAATGACCTCTCTTATTCGAAAACTCGATAAGTCGAAACCTCTATAACCTCTGAGGTTTGAGCTGTCGACTGTTCCACTGTATCTCAGGAACTAATGATTGGCTGCACCTAATATTTTATATTTGCCCCCTCCCCTCAATTTCATGTAGATCAGCGATAGTCTGAAAATGAATTACATTACTATTTGTGTTTTTAAAAATCAGTAGAAAAAAAGAAATTATAAAAGCATGATTTACTATAATTATACAACATACATATATGTATGTTATGCAACATATGTTATGAATCGATCCGAGAGCGAGGTTACTCTCATTTTGAACGACGTATATATAGTATATTTTGACTAGAGATAATTATTATAATTGATCAAATGACTTTAGGTTATACAACAAAAATATAAACGTATAACAATTCATAAAAATGTAAAAAGTATAAAAAACGAACACAAAAATACTAATATATAAAAAGCTCTATAGCGTGCTGTAATACCAAACACATTGACGTCAGACCAATAGTTAGCAAGCGCGCAGGTAACCACGCCACGCAGATGGCGTGTCAGGAGTCTAGGCTAGGGAAAATCATACGCGACATTTTTGCCGCGCTAAAGTTCGTAGACACAAATAACAGTTCACGCCATCGTGGGACGTGGGCCAAAGCGCTTATCCCTATTATGTCCGACCGCCATCTCCCACTATACCGTACTCGTGCTCTCACGCAAGCGTAGCGGTAGCTCTGTCCGTGTGCGAAGCCTGTTCGGCTCTTTGCGCCAACAATCTACGTCACTACGTGACGCTCGAGCAACCTGAGCGCATGAGTAACAATCAGGAGATTCCCTTTGAATCTCTGTGAGACGCAGTGTTTCGAGTACATATATGGGTGTTCGGGACAAAAATCATAACTTCTAAATTAATCAATTTTCGACCTATGTTCTCTAATACTTTTGATTGGCACATAAAAAAATATATGGTTTCATTTAAAAAAATTGTAGCAATCTTTATTTTTTATCGAATAAAAACTTTTTTGTAAATTTTCATTAACACAATTTATTGTCAACTGAATGCTGATTAACTTTTGTTTGAAAAATTTGTTCATCAGTTTCGCGGAAGTACCGGCAAAATCGTAGCGGCCGTTTTGCATAGAGGGGTTTGAGAGACAAATATCAACTTTGTATACATTCAAAATTTCTCTTTTATTTGTGTTTTGTAATATTCATTAGGTAGTTAAATAACAATATAAACAATAAAAGAATTGAATAACGCGTACAATAGTAGGATAGGATGCTAGAATACTGAACGCGTCAATAACGATTTTGACAATTTTCTTCATTTTGAGCAAATTTGACTGCTCTACCAGTCAATATTTATAGACACGGCTTCGACTACTTTGACGCAAAGATAAAATCATCTATATGGGCAAAAATGACGGAAGTTTTTATTTTGAAAGCAATGTATAAATATTTACGGAAATGCACCTTAATCATTGTTAAGTCTGAAATATATATTTTATTGTATTAGTTGTTAATTTTTACTTTACTCCTATAATTTTAATTAGTGCTCATTAAAATTTTAGTTTAAAAGAATAGTAAGAACAATACACAAATGTCTAGAGAAAAATGATTTATTCATAATTATGGATTGCAAAATAAAATAGTTTTGATAAGTTTACTTCTTATTCTATTATGATCCGTTAATAAATAATTTCTTTTATAATACAATCGCACATTACAATAATGAAAACTTATGATTTTGATTAAATCTATGTCATTAGATTCTACATTATTATACATATGTTCGTGATACTGGCTAAATACTGATGGAGGAACATTGTACATAACTTTTACAATTAATTTGTGTAATATATTTTGTTTGCAATAATTGATCTGTTTTTTCTAGAGGCCGTATCTCTGGTTCGACAATTTTACAAATATGTATAACATCAGTTGGTGGTATCGTTAGAGCTTGTTTTACGGTATTATAATTTTTTACATTTACAAAATTATCAAACGAGTTATCCGACTGTATCGCTCTTCAACGTATTTCACACTGCAGTGTTTTTTATTCTTCGGACTATAAAACCAGCAACATATTCAACATCTGATATGTATAATGATAGATCTTTGGAATAACTTGCACTTGTAACATAATAATTATGGTCATCATTATTTTCATGAAACGTTGCATTATTTTCAAAAGTTTCTGTTAGTAGATTATCAACAGTCCTTCATCTTGTTTCCTTTTGAAGTATTATTATTCTACTTATAACGCCAGATATGTATTAATAATTTCTTGTAAGCAGCTTGAAGAAGTCTTGCAATAGGATTATTATGGTGTTCTCCCACACTTCTGGTGGCACTGAAAAAATCTCAAAGTGATCTTGAGAAAATTGATATGCCAGTATGTATTGTAATTTACCATAAATTTGGCTATCACCATGTTGATTGAATATGTGGTGGGTCTAAAAACAAATAAGTAGATTCCCCTGTACTTAGGATGTGGGAAACGTGGTGTTAAACAAGTGAAAGATAATTGAACTCCAAGATATATTGCTATTGCTATATTTGTTGCAGCACCATCGAAAGTTAAGCTGCAAGATTTAACTCTAACTTCATGAAGTAATGTTAAACACATATGTACTTACTGTTACATTTCTGACTGCCTAATAGCCCATTGATTAAAAAGTAGTTTACTGGTAGTTTCCATTCATCATTTACACAGTTAACTAAAAATACAATTTTCCCTTTCGCTTCTGGTGAAGTAATACTTTCAGCTTATTTGCTGACATCCACATAATTGCAACATATGTATCACTTTTTGGAAATATTACATAAGCAGCCTAACTATTACAGTTATATGCAGTTGAAATATATTCTTAAAACATACCATACAAATTTTTTACTGCCCCACTCTATTTTCTTATGAATTGCCATTTCATCAATTATCAAAGCACAGACACAAGCCTTACCTTCATTTTAAGAAACCGTTATCTTTAAAGTATTTATGGATTCAGTATAAAAATCTGATTCACATGCAACCGATGCATACCATGTTTGCAAAATTCAAGGATAAGGTAGGATATTATAATATGTATCTCTGACATAATTATATGCTCTTGGTGAATAAAAGTTGAAAGTGAGTGCAAAACTTTTCATCTCAGCAGGATATGTTCTGGATTTACAGTGCATCATTTGTTTAAATAGAATCTTGATGGAAGCAAGTAAATTGTCCTAGAATGTGTTAAAACAAGAAAAGAATAAAAAAAAAGTAGTAGGTGCTATATACAGCTAAATATAAAACATCCATGTACACTTCTAATTAGTGTGACAGGCAGAGAACAGAACAACCCATTAATAGAATGTTTCATGCTTATATCATTGAAATTTATACATACTGAAAGTATTATAGAAACATCTTCAGTAATGATCTTTGTTTCTCAAGTCATCCACTAACGAATGTAAATATTTAATTTTTTCTATAAGTCTTCTGTTTTTCCGTTGCAACGTTTTAATTTGTTTGTTTCTTTACTATTGTTATATTAGCAATTTGTACATAGTTTTCTTTAACACTTATCACATCACATTCTTCTTAAATCACCAACATAAGCTTTCTCCTTCTTTTTTAAAGGTTTCTTAAGTAATACATTTTCTTCATCAGTACTAGTAGTATGTATTAAACTGTCATCTTCACATTCATTTTTTTAAGCTAAAGACAAATTATAGTGGAGTTATACAAATTTAAAGTATTACGGACTAACTTCAAGTATTGATTATGAAGGGAGTTATACCTTGCAGTTTCATTTTTTGTTTCAATTCATGGAACATTGAGTATATCTATTTCTTGCATATGCCACGTTTCAAGTACATCTGATATATTTGGTACAGCATTAACTCTTAATATTTACTTTGAACTCCAAGGACTTTTAACAAAGCAATCACTTGAAAAATGTTTTAAACATACTTTTGAATGAGGTGAAGGCTTAAAATTATCACATTTTATTGCTTTTATCTACCGCTGTTTTAATCCTGAATTTTTTAGAAATCTATAAATAAATTTTTTTAGAACTATCACAAAGAACTTAATCAGTAATGAATCTTCTACAGAAAGTAATGAATCCACTTACTAATGAAAAGATATATTCGTAGCACGCTTTTGTCGTTCTTTGTAATTCTTTATACAACATGTTTGTACCATTATTAATATTATTCAAAAATTATTCACAGAAAACTTCTTGTAGCACATTTCTGATGCAATATTCACTATTTTGAATTATCTGTTGCCCACAAATAACATATTTTCCCCATTACCTTTGCTTCACTTTGACTCGTGGATTCCTATACATGGGCCGCGTCTATAAGTATATATGGTCTAAGGCTACGTTCAGACACGTGCGCAAGCAGCTACGTAAGTAAGTATATACTTACAAGTCGTTTTCATTACTTTGCCCACATATGACGTCATGTAGATGATTTTATCTTTTCGTCAAGGCAGTTATCTGAAGCCATGTCTAATAAGTATACATGGTTTAAAATATGTACATATATATTCTAAATTTATACCACACGTAATTTAATATATATTTTTTAAAGTACTCCCTTCATTCTAAAGGATTAATCAATAGATACATGCGTTTCTTTATATAATATCAACCTTCTAATGGATAAATATGAATATAATAAAATTTTATATTACATTGTTTGTAAATGCAGTTAAAATTTAAATGAATATCAATTATCATGAATATTATTGTTTTTTGAGAAAGTTATTTTCCTCTTTCTTCATACTCCCTCTTGTGTCTGTTTTACCAGGTGAGGATTAATTGAATATGTGTGTAGCAGTACGTATGGAATGATGTACTGCACGGTGCACCACATTGGCAAATGACTGAAATTTTAACAAATACTATTAGGCAAGGTATAATAAGCAAGTTTCTGAAAAAGTATAATCATTGTTAGTTGAGAAAAGAACAAGTCTCAGAATGCTTAATCAATACTATAATAATGCATATCGAGATCATTAGTGCGGCGTGGTATTTTAAATCTATGTCAGAGTTGTTTGACCTGTGATATCTTACAATTCAGATATCGTCGATTCTAAAAATCTATATCCGATATGCACCGAAGTTCAGTGAAATTTTCTTTGTCATAGGTAATTATCATATTGTTCAATGTCAAATTACACAACAGTTTTCTGTAATATAGTGAGCGAATATACAGACATATGTCCTGTATGTGATATATGCTGTGATACTTAACAAATTGTGAAATACACGATTAATTCTGCGATTTACAATGCAAAAATATAGAAATTCATAAATATTAATGTGTATTATAGGTGTGCAGCTTTTCTGCATTCATGTTCAATAAATGTTTTGCACAATGTACCTTTTTAATATATTAAAAATTCGTTAATATATAGTGATATTATATTGTTTAAAATTAAATTGTTGTTATTGAATTTTAATTTTAGATTATTAATAGATAATCAGCTACTTTACGGAGGAGAAGGAAGGTCTTATAATGTTCCTACCTTATACAGCATATAACGTATTGGCAAAAAAGAAATTACATCTAAAAGAAGTCTAACTATACATATCATAAGGTTTGTATAAATAAGGTGTAGATTTATAATTATTGAAAATTTATTCTAATAGAATATTTCATGTTTAATTGTATATTTTGATGGATTTTTAGATCTAGCTGTTCTTTTGTTATGGTGGCTGTGCAATCATTCATTCATTAGCATTTAATTAATATTAAAAGTGCCTTTTGATATTATGAGTGCCTTTTTTGTATGAAAATATTGCCAATGAAGTACTTATAAGAATATGTATTAAAAAATGGCAATAATTTATTTTTGGATAGGTATAATAATTTAATTTATACTTGCTTAATCCATTATTTAAGAAATAACATTATAGTTATATGGCAGAAAATAAATGCAGTTGATATTCCAAATAAAAAACTAAGGAGACCTAATTATTTAAATTATTATATTTAGGATATATCATGACATCATTCTTCAAAAATTATAAGTGATAAAAAACATATTCTGAAAGTATCAAATAAAACTAAGAAGATGGATAGTTCAGAGTACGAGACTGTTCGAAATATGACACTTTTATTCTTTTTTGAACTTCTTGTGGATAAAGGTGGTCCACGTACATTGCATGATTTGAGTTGTCAGTTTGGAGCTAAAGGATTTACAAAAGAAATGCGCCAAATAGCTGGTGGATCACAAAGCGGCCTTAAAAAATTTTTAGCTCAATACCCAATGCTTTTTTTCATTAATGGTGATTATGTATCAGTGAATACTTTCCAACAAGTTGCTGAAGAAGAAAATGGATGTAAATTAAGTGGTAAACGCGATTATGCTAGGGAGGCTGTAGAATATTTTACAAATAAACTAATGCAGTATGGAGTAGGTACTGAGGTACCGATAAGAAGTCTTATGGGACATCGATCTCAGGCTTCTCCAGAAGTTAGACATATTTCTGGTCAACACTATAAGGAATTTAGAGATTTTCTTTTAAAATATCCTGATGCTTTTGTAGTTACTGAAGATAATGTAATGTTAAAGCAATATGAAGGCATGAAAGCAGAACCTTTCGTAGAGTTAGAACCTGATATACCCATAGATCCAGAAATTACTGCAAAATTATTAGATTTATTTTGTGAGTGTATTAAACAGAAGGGTCCAATCCTTGTAGATCAAATGTTTAATATAGTTAATGATATATTTTCTTATGAAAATTGGACTTCGATATTTAAAACACCACAGGACTTGTGTACATTTGTAAAAATGTTCCCAGATGCGTTTCATGTTCAGAGCAATTTAATAACATTGATTGGAAAACCAAAGTCTTCTACTGTAGAGGGAAAAACAAAAACAAGGCTTGCAAATTCTACACGAAATCAAAATAGTATTGCATGTCAAGCAAATTCAAATGAAGTTGTTCAATCAAGCAATACTCAAGCATCTCAGCAAACAACTAAGTCAGAATCTGTTAATATTAATGCTACAAGTCAAATCAATTCTTTACATAATTCTCATTCTCAATCAATTGAAAGCAGTAATAGCTCTCCTCCAGTAAGTTTGCAACAACAAACCTTAAAACAAAGAATAAATACACTTGTAATGAAGACTTTGGCAGATAACACAGAGAAGGATCGTAGTTTACAAACAATGCAAATGGGAGATGCATGGAAGTTAAAAGTATTACAACAAACTAGAGTAATAGTAAATCCAAGGGAGAGTCTTCAAATTATAGAAGACATAATAAACCCCCGTAAGCCTCCTCCTGATGGTAAAATTGTTGTTTCCTTTGACTGCGAAGGTATAAATTTAGGAGTTAAAGGACAATTGACACTTGTACAAATCGGAACTATGTCTGGACAGGCATATGTGTTTGACTTATTTGCATGCCCTAATCTTGTACAAGCTGGAGGTCTTCAAAAACTTCTAGAACATAAGGATGTTATCAAAGTAAGGAATAATATTGAAAACATTTTGTATTCAACATTTATTGTATTCTTCATATATATTTTAACAGATATATGTTCTTTTAATTATATGTATTGTTTTAGGTAATTCATGATTGTAAAAACGACAGTGTCAATTTGTACAGACAGTTTAAGATTATGTTGAATAATATTTTTGATACACAGGTATTTGATCTATATTTGTTAAAGTTTCTTAAATATTTTTTAGAGCATAAAATCATAAAAGTATATGATACTTTAAGAACAAATTATGTTTTTATTTCTAGGCAGCTCATGCTGTACTTCAGTTTCAAGAAACTGGTAAACCTGTATATAAAGTTAAAAATGTTAATTTGAATACACTATGTGATCATTATGGTGCTCCGTGTAATCCTTTGAAGGAACAATTGAAAAATATTTATCGTAATAATCAAAGGTACTGGTGTAGGCGTCCACTAACACGAGACATGCTCATTTATGCTAGTAGCGATGTTCTATGCTTGGTTCCACAAATATATGTCTCCATGTCTAGGTATAGTATTTATATATGCTTTACTTATTAAATAATTTTATCATATCCTTTTTTAACTCGTATCCAATAATTTATTTTTATAGTTTATTTCAAAGATAATTATTATAAACATAAATAATTATAATAAGTGGTTGATGTATTGAATGAGTATGCAAAAACTAAAATTTATTATTTTTATTTCTTATATGTGTCCAATTTTTAATTATTCAAGAAAAATATATGATAATTATATCTAGAATATTTTTTGTTAACCGTAATCGCTTTTTTTTTTGTTTTTAACATTGTTAGACTTATAAAACCAGAAGTACAAGCTCTTTTTAATGAGCTGTGCGAGGAACAAATTCAAATGCACATTAAACCTGCAGAAGTAAAGGCGCGTAAGAAGCAACGAAAAGTGGAAACAGAAGTTGCAGATTTAAAAAAAAGAATGGAAGACGCAACTACCAAAAACATTGTCCTGAGTAATCGTGAAATACGTCTTTTACGTTATCTTGATCTTACTGAAGATGAAAAGGAAAAATTAAAAGGCAGTTACAAAGTCGCTAGAAAATTGGAGAAACTCGAAAATGTGGGTCAAGATAAAGGAGAAAGTAGTGACGATGATGATGAAGATAAAGCAGAGGATTTAGAGTATCATAGTATGGAAAGTTATACCTCGGAAAATTCACATTCTGGTATACGTTTTTGTAATCAATGCTGTATATTATTATTGCTATTTGTGTTATTTAATACCATTGATATAGCTTTAAACATTCAAATATTTGTATTTACAGGTGGTATATTATCTCCAAGGAACTCTAATACCCCGAGCCTTACAGAATCAATGCAAATGGTAGATGAAATCCTGTCCGACGGGCGAATGGATAGATTTGAAAAAATTGAAAAATTGGAAGCGATTCTTTCAGCTGTCACTGGTTCTGCAACTGATCAGTTTTCCTCAAGCAGTGCGGATGCATCTCCGACAAAATATGTATGCTTGTGTCGAGATAAAAGTAAAAGTCCACGAACAGATCGTAACACCGGAAATAGCGTGGCTTGCCAAACATATAGTACAGGTGATATTGTAATTACCAAAATATTTCTCACAGAGGCAGAAAAGGAACGTATAGATTTATTGAATTCGCCAAAAAAATAGATATGTCATAGTTATTGTGAAAGTGGTAAGGAATAAAGTTGCCATTATTAGATTTTTATGGAAAAAAACGAGTGGGTGACGCAAAATAAACGTAGTTGAAAATTGATCTATTTTATGTAGTTTGACAAAATTGTAATATTCAGTTACAACAATCAACTAAAACAACTCTTGATACGTTTGTTTTTCCAAATCTGATGCTATAGTAATCAGAATTTAGGAAAAATTTGTTTTAACGGAAAAAAATTCAGTATTGTAAAATATATTCTTTTTTAATACGCGATTATCTTTCTTTACAAGGTATAAGAAAGAATAATCGAATTACGTATTAATTGATATATAGTTATAAATCAATATCTGTTTACTAACAGGGATATTTGATGACATATTTTTCGAGTAATTTATGTTACTACTCAGGATTAAAACACTAATATTGTTGTTCCTCTGTAAAACAATATAAATATTTAAATATTTTAATGTTGTTTTTAAAACAAAATTTTATCCATTTTTAACACAATTTATTTCATTGAAGTATAGAATTGTATCACATGTAAAAAAATATAATTTGTCATGTAAAGTGCTGCATTAAAACCACTATCTTACATAATCTATTTTTCCGAATATTTATATACAAATATTTTCAGTTTCATTGAAATATATT